GGGAAGGGGGGGACCCCAGCCCCTGCCCACCCTCCAGCTCCTCCTGAGCGCAGCCCCCATCATGTTTCCCTGCACGTTTTGGGGTGACTGCAGCCCTGGACGAGTGACATAGCCCTGTCACCCTGTCCTGCTCCTGCACACACCCCTGGGCTAACCAGCCACCCCAGAGCCTCACAGGCACCCACAGCCCTACAAGCACCCACAGCCCTGAGGGCACCTGCAGCCCCAACAAGCACCTACAGCCCCACAGGCACCCACAGCCCCACAGGCACCTGCAGCCCCGTGGGCACCCACAAGCCCCCTTGGGGATCCACAGCACCACAGGGGACCCACAGCCCCATGAGAACCCACCAGCCCATGAGGGTCCACAGCCCCATAGGGATCCAAAGCCCTGTGGGAACTCACTGTCCTATGGGGACCCATGGCCCCATGGGGACCCTGCAGCTCTGTGAGTACCCACAGCCCCATAGACACGCCACAGCCTTGTGGGGACCCACAGGCACTCACAGGCACTTACAGCCCCATGCAGACCCACAGCCCCATGGGGACCCACAGCCCCGTGGGGACCCACAGCCCTGTGGGGACCCACAGCCCCATAGGGCACCCACAGCCTCATAGGGCACCCACAGCTCTGAGGGGACCTGCAGCTCTGAGGGGACCCACAGCCCCATGGGGACCCCACAGCCCCATGCAGACCCACAGCCCTGTGGGGACCCACAGCCCTGTGGGGACCCACAGCCCTGTGGGGACCCACAGCCCCATAGGGCACCCACCGCCTCATAGGGCACCCACAGCTCTGAGGGGACCTGCAGCTCTGAGGGGACCCACAGCCCCATGGGGACCCCACAGCCCCATGCAGACCCACAGCCCTGTGGGGACCCACAGCCCTGTGGGGACCCACAGCCCTGTGGGGACCCACAGCCCCATAGGGCACCCACAGCCTCATAGGGCACCCACAGCTCTGAGGGAACCTGCAGCTCTGAGGGGACCCACAGCCCCATGGGGACCCCACAGCCCCATGCAGACCCACAGCCCTGTGGGGACCCACAGCCCCATGGGGACCCCACAGCCCCATGGGGACCCCACAGCC